GACGTTCTAGCATTTCCCGACGGTGGGAAGATGTTTCCCAAGGCGAGCAGCTGTAAATCGTGTGTTTAGTCGACATCCTCTTCTCGAAAGCGGGATTCAATTTTCCTGCAGGAAATCTGGCCGTCGAAGGAATTCGAGGAGGTTTTGAAACGACTATCTCGTTTTAATCGAGGATGCTGCTTTAATGAAACGATCCGATCGAGTTTACGGCAGTGAAAAATGATTCGCGAGGGATGAAAAGATCCGTTGGGAATGCTTTTCGACTTAAATTGAAAGATACTCGCTTTCGATGATTCCAACCATTTATTTTTAAATAAATACTTCTTAGCATTATTTTTCTTTGAATCGTTTTTCAATTCAACAAACCTGCAACCTTTTATTTTTCTACAATTTGTAACAGAATGTAACAAAGGGCTAATATAAAAGATTTTAAAAGTTAATCGTTCCCCGAACAGTACCACTCAAGAGCTTAATTACAGTTGGAAAATTACGAATGCTTTGTGCAAACTCAAACCGATCACAGATTATCTTTACCAGATTAAAAAACGAACTTTGAAAATATCAACGGTATTGTAGAATATCTCGAACGAATGAAAAATGAGGCTGCCGGACGGCCTTTTAAAATAGATCGTCCGGCAAAGGAATTTAATTAAAACACGAAGATCATTTTTCTCTTTTCCTCGGCTTCGTGTATTGACTGGTTCCCGTATCTCGTGTGCCTTAATATACACGCGAAATGTTCTTGCCAAAGGCTCTTACGTCGATAATTCCCATAAACGATGCATTGTACACCTTTTATCTCGGCGAACCTTTGACGTACGGTTTCTAAAGCGAACACGAAAAAAATAAAAGCAGAGTTCTTTTTTTAATCGACTGATTCTACAGAAAAGAAGCGTTCGCCCATTCTTGCGCTCCAGTCATCTTTATGTTCCCAAATTTAATGACCAAACCCGTCAGATTTCGGAAACGGTATGGCTCGATAAGCTTCGCGGGGATAATATACGAGCGCATATTTTCCTACCGGTGACGGGTCGCCCTGGAATAGGAGTAAAGTTCCGCATACGACAAGATTCATCGGCTTCGAGCCGTTTCGGCCTCGACAGTCGACAATTTTTCTGCGAAACTTGCATTTGCATCTTTACGACCTTCGATTCCGATCCCCTTTGCAATTTTTTTCAACATCGCCTTGCAAAGCCGATGACAAATCTATCGCTGACCTTCCCTTGTCGGGAAATCAAAAATGATAATACCAAAATATATTTTGTTTCCGAGATTGCAAGAAAAGAAATATTTGCGATCTTGGTAGATCGAGAAGAAATATTTTTTTTAAATCTCCTCGTTTGGAGACGAGTAACCGCGCCGCATGAAAATATAGATTTTACCGTAGCGATTGTGAAAATTCTCGAGCAAATTCGATTAGAAGCGCGAATCGAAGGGATATAAAAAAAGCACTTAGGCAAACAGGTATTCGATGAACGCGTAAAATCCGATAAATATTGCTTCGACCTATAGCGCCGTTATGGGACACGGAAAGTAAGTTTCCCTTTATAAAGCTTCCCACCCACACACGTACGATCCTGGAAAATTTCCTATGCATGCGAACCAATGAATATACAGGAGGTGTCGACGAATCTGGAACCGACTATCAAACGATGGAAAATACTTTCACTATGCAATGAATTTTTTCCCCCGTTAACCCTTCGTTGCATAATTTTCTTAATCTTTTGAACTCTCGTGGCTGATAATAACGGAATAGCAATTACCATACGTTTTAATATTCCAAACCTTGTGTTCTCGATAAATTTTCATCCTGTCGAAGTTTATTAACATCGTTTTGAATCGCTCTATATATTTAATCCACTCTTCAGCCATGTTTCCTGGCATGCACAATTTTGAACGTTTATTTTATATTTCAAACGAAAATTTCCTCTTTTTAACTGGAATTTTTTTTTTTTTCCAATGCCGGCTGGAAACAAAACGTAGGCAAGCATTCATGTTTCATGAATTCAGCTTGATAAAGAGAGTGCACCGTTTTAAACAAGCAACAGTACAAAAATCCCTTTCGTCGAATACCGAGGCCGTTGTTTTGTTGAAAAATTGACGGAATCCACATGTTGGTCGCTCCCGATTTTCACATGCCGGTATAACGAGAGTTTAAAGTCGTTAAATGTTGTAAAAATGTAAATACCATGGCATGATGAAAACAGCAGGGATCGTGACAGATGCATTCTCCAGATTGGAAATAAAAATTTGTTTTTCATCAGAGATAGGTAACTAGTCGTTTCATAATAGCGAAAGGATTAACGATACGAGCTTCGGATTTTTCAATTTAAACTTTCAATTTGCTACCCTATTCGCGTTATTCGTTAGAGCACTACTGCTATCCGTGCATTTTTGTTTTATATTTTTTTTTTATCGTTCAAATATATCGAAGTATCTATGGTATAGGTTACTGGTAATAGTAGATTTTGTTGAATATCAAATAACCAATATTAAAATATTGCAGCTTTGACGTTTATTGAAAATTTATTGAAAATTGCTGTGTAATCATTCCATCATTTATTCAACTTACTATCGATTGGAAGTAATAAAGCTAAAATGAAAGAAGTGAAATTTTGTTAATCAACAAATTGCAAGAAACTTGTAATATCTGGTAGAGTGCAATTTTATAAAGGTTCCTAGTAAAAAAGAGAGATATGGATATCTTCTTTTAGAATTCATGCGTACAATTAACAAAATTGCTATTCTTTCATCTTCCCTATATTCAGCATTCCCATTTACCTTTTTTTTTCCCTTTGAAATTGAAAGAAAATGAGTTCCCGGCGACCTCATTGCCGGGGAATGCATAGCTTTTTGCGATGCAACGGTATTCACTGCGAGTGAAAATTTATAGTTCATGCAGCGGCCTGTTCGCAATAATATTTTCCCTGTTTCCGGCGGTTTCCCTTCCTCCTTATCTTCCCTCGAAAGGGGGACGCGACGTCGGGCAAACTTTAATATCTGTTCGCGAAACAATTATTTTCAAGTATCGCGAAACTTCGCGAACTTCCTTCGTAATGAGCATGGACACGATATTAAATCAGAGTTCTACGGTTTCATAAATGTCACTGAATAATGTTCAGTTTACCAGACGCCGTGGTTACCTCGTTGAAAGTCATCAAGAGTTTTTTAAGCTTCTGTGCATTAAAATTACTCTACCATTTTTCTAACTTAAATTAATTTATTTGAATTATTCAGGATATTAAGTATTAATTAGTATAATTTTAATGGCAATCATTGGAGTATGTAATTAGGGGCCAGGGTGGTGGAATGGTACCCTCCCCATTTTAAGATTCTAAAATTCTAATAATTTTATTATTGTAATATTTAAAAATTTTATGAATCTGGCCCACCCTTAAAAATCTCGAAATTTTCAACGTAACATCCCCTATATGAAAAAAGTAAATTTAGAAATCTACCCTTTGTCTCGTAATTCCAAACTGTTGACCAGCAATATACGACGGCAATTGTATTTTAATATCCCCTAACAAACATCCCAGGAAGATAGAGTACGTCCATGCAATTACCCCTGAAAAATGAATACTCCAGCACGTTGCCACGAAATATCCACTAGGGAAACGAAGGGCCCCGTTCCAAAAGAGTGTACCTTTCATAAAGCTGCGTAACGTAATTACACGTGACTATGAACCCCGGTAAAAGTCCGTTTCCACTTGCAATTCCGAGTATGGGAACGAATGCGTTTGTATCAAGCGATGTTACTTTAATAAATCGCTTCTATACAGAACGCTTCAAAACATGCGCTACTCTTGAATTATTTTAATTATTCCTGCAAGCACAGGTCGACCGTTATTCCGGCTTGTTTTTAACACAGGTGGCACGCGACCCTGTGTCCGGTAAAGTTGCGGAACTAACTACCTAGACGAATTAAATCGCATTACTTCGGGATGAAATTGTATCAGGGTAGAAACGAGAGAAATTGGATGCTCGAAGAGGAAGCTTTGACCTTTGTACGAATGTAATTAATTGCCGGTTAATTGCTCCTCCCTGATGATATTATTCCCTGTAAATTGTTTAACAAGGAGACTGAAAGATTGAATCTTTAATTACCATAGCATTTAATAATCTTTCTTTGGAGAATAAGAATAATTCATCCTCGATTGGGTGCATTCGTTTGGTAAAAATAATTCTTCGAGTCGAGGAAAGGAAGGTAGATGAATTCTGAAGCGATCGATATTATTTCACCGGGCTTAATCGTTGCCGGTCGACCCGCCAATAAATCGTCCCTAATTTGGTTGGAACACTTCCTGGAATTATCTGTACCTACACCAAGATCTGTGGATTATCTTACGAACGACACCGTACCTCCTCGAGAACGAGCCAGCCCAGACTGTAAATTAATTTTAATCACTCTGATCGTTCGCATCTGGTTCAACCAGAAATTCAATTATCTGATTAATTTCTGTCGTCGTTTTACGATTTGATTTTGCACGGCTTGAAAGAGAACTTTGACCCGGGCTCGGCTCTGAATTAATACAATTAATATAAATGATTTTTGCATCAATTTTTATTCCGACGAAATGTAACATACTTTGGAGAAATTGAAACTTGCTTTATAAAACCGGCGAGTTTTCCACCTTAACGGGGTGGCGCGACCAACAATCGCATAATGTACCCTGACACTTTTATGGCCCTTCGATTTTGCAGTTTAATGTGTTTTTAAATCGCCCGTGATATATTCTAGGCTAGCAGGGAAAATCCCTTCGATAAGCCGACTGCTTTCAATTAAATTTATAGCGGTTTGCCCTGGGTTACGCTGTTTTTGCATCGTTGCGTCTTACAGCCGTCGATGAAAATTAATTTTCAATATTTATTACCTCTAATAAACGATCAAATTAAGGTCGATTTCGCAATTGTACAATGGAAAGTGGAACCAAGTGGAATTAATTGGAAATGAGATTTTATTTTCGATACAATTAACGGGTCGCATTAATTGCTTTCAGATAATGGGCAAATGGTACGTGGTGGAAGTGTTGGAGCACAAAGTCGACCCTCTGAAACCTTTGAGCGGATCGTACGTGGTGAACTCTTGTCCGATAGTGAAGCTGAGAGCGATCGAGAACGCGGCCAAGTTTTTCTCCTCGTTGAGGCTCTTGTGGTCCGAGGAGATGGGCAATCTTGAGTACACTTTTCGAATACCGGACATCACCAGGAAGCCGGGTTTCTGGATCTCCGATTCTCAGCAAAACGGTAAACACCGGTCGTCGTCGCAAATATTTTTTTTTTTTTTTTCTTTGAATCTATCGAAATTGCAAATAAAGAGAGACAAAGAGTTCGACGAGATTTTCTAACAGCCGGCACAAAAGTTTCAATCCAACCGAACCGGAATTTATTCCCTTTTCGTCACAGTTATAGGAAAATCTGGTTAATAACGACTGTGGAAACAAAATTGAAAGAGGAGCATTTTTCTGCGAACCATAGACAGTAGCTCTCTTTTTTATAAAACGATTATTGTTAATCGATGGAACAAAGCTATCGACGAATCTCTGAAACGAACAATTCTCGCGGATTAAATGAAAGAAGGGATCGGAGGAGAGGCTGGTTCAGGGATGAAATTAGAAACGTGCTTCCGATCGAAACGTGACTCGTTTCCTTGCGTGAAAAATGAAATTTCTTCGATTCCCCAACCAGAATCTCTCTTCGACGTTTCACGGATGAGAAATAGAATTAGGACAGCGACATTATTCTTCCTGTTTCGAAGTCATTGTTCGATAGTTTCGAAATAGAGCTGCCGATTGTTAGCTTGAATCTATTCATCGAAGCGATTCAACCTAATCGATGAACCGTGCAAACGCGATAGGACAATGCAGATGAAGCAGAGCGGAAGCAAAGTTAAGATCATGGGTCATCGGACTAGTTCTTAACACTTTGATCCTCGCAATTTTTAACTTCACGATTTCTAACAAAGATTATTCAGAAAAGAAATTATATTTAAACGTACGCTGTGGAATATTCTTTCGCGTGCTTCATCCTCGACAACATTTCTATTAAAAATTGACAGATGGAATCTCGATAAAAGCGCACGATTCTGAAAAATAAATCAAACCTGTCCGGAAACAGAATCGAAAGTAGCTGCTTATATCCATCCTTCCCGTCAGTCTGATTTTTCCGCTTCCCTGCTTCTTGTCACGATCCTATCGACAAGGTTTTATTAATTGTCATCCGAACAGGACCAGCCAATAAATAATCGTGTGAAACGATTCGTAAGCGGTGAATCAAAACGTGTTCACGATCGGGCCGAATTTCACGGGGGCGTATAATTAATTTCATCGGATTAAACGTCAATATCTAGGAGATAGTGTCCGTTTACACAACGAAACAGTTTAATGGACGATGCTGTAATATTACGATAACACGTCCTGTTGACGTTATTGCGATTGGCACGTACTAGGTGCGTGACAATCCTTTCTCAATACTAATAATATCCGTTTTATTCGCGATACGTGTCGTCGGTAGGGAAACACTGTTACGCGAAATCGTAAAAATTTCCCTGTAAAATATGAAATTTTACGGGGCGCGTTATTATCGCTGGAATTTGGAACGTTCTAACTATCACAGTCGTTAAAATTGTTAAATTAGTCATTCTACGCGTTGCAAGTATATTCCTAGCCATCACTGATTTCCATTAGAACTCCATTCTAGGTAAAATTGATACAGGAGATTAGGATAATAAATTCATTTGACAGTTATCTAGGAATAGAATGAAAATTTAATTAGAAGCATTGTCGCTTAATTAATTCTAATCATTCGGAGATTCGTCGACGCTTGATATTTGTATCATCTTCAAATCCGTCAGAAATGATACACCTGTGAATCCTTTCAACAGGTACTCTGGTGCAGAAACAGTACTCGCAGTTCACCGGGAACGTGTACGTGATGAAAGCAGTCGCATCGGACATGGTGTTGACTTTCTGCGCCGGAAATCCTGACAATCAGCTTTACTCGCTGCTGCTGGCGCGCGAGCATATCCTCTCGAAGAGCGACAAGCGTGGAGTCCACAACCTCCTCGTTCGTCGTGGCCTGAAGATCGTCAACATCCGAGAGACTTGTATGAACAGCGCTGCCTTGCGAAGAGCTTCCATCAATCTGATCGGTTTACTCGGATTGATGGGGGTGTTGTTCAACGTTCTCTTCGGCTCCTGGTAGTGGTGATCGTTGATAAGAAAAAAACGATCGAATTTCTGAGAAAAATCGTTAGCTGACTTGGGCTGATCATTCGCGACGATTCTCTTTCCTTTCTTCCGTTCGAGAATCGTGGCACGTTTTTCATTTTTCGGATCACCAGCGGAGGGAGAACAGAGGATGACAATATTGCAGAGGGTGTTTGAGAAATGATATCAATTGGATCATCGTTAACGATACTGCCATCGATGCTAAGGGATTATTCAAAGATTCTATCTTTTATTTCAACAATCATTCAGTAATTTTATTTTTTTTTCCTTAGGTGATCCTGATACACCTTCAAAATTGAATGCTGCGCTAATTAAGCTGTCGAACCATGGCTCTATGGGGAATCAAAATTTTGTCAAATCAAAATCAGTTTCAATTTCAGCCGTCCTGGTTCTTGGTTTCCTGATACCAAGACAGTGTTCTTTCAATGAAATTCTCAGTCGAGGGATCTCTTATAGTATACAAGAGAAGGAGTAGGTCGTTACTCTTCGCGGATGAAAAAACGGCCCTTAATTGCCAACGCAGCTAACGATCTCGCGTCTCGTGTCTGTTGCAGAACGCAATCGTAACGAGAATCTCGCCGAAAAATAAGAAAGATGAACTAAAATAGAGAAAAAAAAAGAAAAGAGCCGAAAGGAATTCGTGGACGAGGAACACGATTCGACCGTCCTGGATTCCATTTCTCGCGACAATGCCCAGCTTCCATGGGAACGATTCGATTCGATTCGTTTCGTTTCCGCTCGATTCTCCCACTCGGAATACACTCGGGTCGTCTTGGCCCTTGTTGTCCTCGTTATCGCGAGATTTCGTTCCTTCTCGAAGGAGACGCCGATCCCTCGAGCGTTCTCGACTGAAACAATACGGGCTCGATGATACCTGTCCGTTCGCGTATTTATAATAGCCTAGATGAACTCGTTCTCGTTGATCGAAGAGGAATCGAAGTGTTCAATGACCCGATGTCGTGTCGGCTCTTTCAGTTCGAAGACGATGGTGTACGATTACACCCTTAGGAATTAGAGACAGAGAGATCATTTATTTTTAAATCATTTCTTAATGGAGGGAGCTCTTTTATTTAGAAGTTTGGGTATCTAAATTTATTAAAAGTTATTCAAGGGTTAAATGTGTAGCCATGAATTAATTTTTCAAACTGAAGCATATTTAACACCCCTAATTTTAAATTACATTAAAAAATGAATATCCTCAGAAAAATATTGTCTCGGTAAAAGTAAAATGCTCCTTGCTCCTTTCACATCGAATTGAAATCTTACAAAGGTTCACAATTTGATTATCCTTCACGATTTCTCGTCTGAGAGGTAGTAACTCGAACCCTAGGAAACATATCTCAAGAAGCTACCATTACTGGAGAGAAGATGGTGAAATTCAGCTCGATAACAAAAGAGGGTTTCGTGTAGAACGCGAGAAGAAAATTTTCCTCGTGAAATATCCGCGACACGTGTCGGATAACCGGGGGCTGAAAGGGTTGAACACTGAGTACCGATTCTTCCAAGCAAAAGATAATCCTCTGAAGTGGACGAGCTTCTCTCGTGAACATTAGTCGCGTTAGATAGAAGAAAAAAAAAATGCATGTTTGTATGTAAATTCTCGATTCGTGGATTTAAGAAGACAATAGTACTATTCCGTGTGAATTTTCACGCTAAAATTCCGCGTGGCATCATCTTTATGATAGAAAATTCGAACAAAGGCCGGATTTGTCGTGAAACAATTAGAAGAAGAAGAAGAAGAAGAGACCGGTAGAATTCTATTCGCTGTTCTTCGATCTTCTTTTTTTATTTATTGTATTTCATATCGATCGTGTCACGATTCATTCCGTGAGTCTTTCTTCTGCCTCGAATTCGAAAGAGGAAGATTCTATTCGACGATGGGGAAGAGCAGTGTACGTTGTACCATTGTAAGATAGTTTCCATTAAATCGTTAGAGACGATTATTATTATTATTATTATAATAACTGTGTGTCATGATCGAAGTTGACCTAAAATTATTCGATCGAGTAATCGCGTTCGTTTTACTCAATCGCAATCGCTTCTCAATCAAAGAATCTTCGTACGCTGAACACGATTTTCTCTTTTTATACTTACCGAAATGTATTCGTTCGGACGATGTTTTTATATGAACCCTCGATTATCTGCCAGTATTCATGTCCCGTATGCCTTTTTATACGGACTTTCGAACGTACAAAATTCTATTGTAAAAGATTTTTTACCCTGTATCCTGCGCGTTTGAATTTGAATGCGAGCTGCCGCGTTAGATGTGGGACAAATCGAGTCTGCTAATTTGAGATATAAACTCCTCCAACGATGGAAATTGAAATTTAATTCTAGGATTGTTCTTCATTTTAATTTTCTGAATTTTAGACTATTCGTAATTTCGAATGGTGGCAAATGAAATTTAATTTTGGGATCATTATTCGTTTTAATTTTCTGAAGTTTGGATTATTCCTTTGAAATTTGGGCTTCTAATTTTATTAGAAATTATTATTGTCCCACAAATAGCGTGCTAAAATACTTCTTCCTCCAGTTTACATGTATCGTTAATATTAAAAAAAGCAAACGAATGCGTTTGAGTGGAGTCTTGCGTTTATCTAACGCAATTTCTAATGGCTACGTGATTCTATAATTGAAACTGAATAAGAACAGTTACGATTTATTTAATGAAAAAATTCTACGAAAGAAAACTGCTATCTGTACATATATCCTCGGATATGAAACAGTCTACTGTTGTAACAACGTTGATGAGCATTTAATATGAACTCGTTAAATTATTGAATGGCAATCGCAAAAGAGTACGCCGTGTTATGTTTTAAATGCTCTAGAGTCTTTATTTATTGTACAAAAATAAAAGAATGCTCGATATAAAGATGAATAAATAAAATGAAATATATATATATAATAATACGATCTAGTACCTAATACGATGTAATCGTATGCTTATTATGTGTATAAATATGAAACAATAAAGAGATCACTTGGACGGTTTCTGAGAATTATTTCACTTTATTAACGAAGAGCTAAAGTGAAAAGGAGAAGAAATGTTGGGACAATGTGGACCCCAATATTAAGAGAAATTGTGACCTGGTTATAAGGTAAAGGAGTAGGATTCGATTTGGGGCCTCATGGTTTATTTTATTTTTCCAAATTTGGATAGTTTTGGAAATTAATTAGATAGAAATTGTAATGCTGGTATAAGGCACCCAATTGCAATACAGGAAACTCAAGATTCAAAGAATTCTAAATTTCAAATTCTAAGATACCAAGTGGTAAAATTCCAAATCCCAAGATTCCAAGTCGTAAAATTTCAAATCCTGCGATAACAAGTCGTAATATTTCAAATTCCAAGATTCCAAGTCCCTAGATTCGAAATCTCAAAATTCCAAATCCTAAAGTTCCCAATCTCAAGATTCCAGACCCCAAAGTTCGAAATCCCAATATTCCAAGTCGTAAAATTCCAAATCTTAAGATACCAAGTCCTAAAATTTCAAATGCCAAGATTCCAAGTCCCAATATTTGAAATCTCAAAATTCCAAATTCTAAAGTTCCCAATCTCGAGATTCCAGACCCCAAAGTTCGAAATCCCAAAATTCCAGAATCCTTAACTAGGGCTTTTCAACGGCAATATATCTTTCTCGTCGCTAGAACCACTTTAAACTTTCCTGAACAGCGAAAAGGAAATAACGCGATATTCGCATTAGCACGTGACTCGTGAATGCTAAAAAGCTCGTGAGGAATCAAGTACGAGAGTAGGAAAGCATTCGTCGTTACGTAAGTGTGCTGACAACGAAAGATTTAGCAACGGCTATAAAACATGGAGAACAGAACGATAAGGTACGGCGAAGTTTCGATAATTAAGGTTAATTTTCCAATTAACCTAAGCCCCGCGAGCATGATGCCAACCTATCAAGCAAAATATCCGTGTTCTTGAACTTTCTTCTTGTTTTTATCGGTTTTCTTGCAAGTCTTCATTTTCCTTATCGTCCTTGTGTTCTTAGCTTGCCCTTTCTACTTTTTATCCTGAACCCGAGTCCTTCGTACTATTAGCTGCGTCGCTTAACAAACTTCGATAAGCCTGCAAGAAGTTCCATAATGGTAGTCGACAAAGTCCAACTACTTCGTCCTGATTCTTAAGGAGTTCTAATATCGAGACCAATTTTGTCCATTAAGGTAAATTAACGTTCTTCTCTTCTTCAAATCTTTCTTGAAGGATTACGAAGTAGGCTAAGGAGCAAAGAATCGATCCTGGAAAAATCTTATCTTACCGACTAGAAGTTTATTTAATAGACTTTTATTACTCGATTAAAATGATAAAAAGTCCTTGGTAATGTAATTGTCATCGTCACCACAAGCCTTTATTAACAATGCCAAGTATTTAATATTTTGGATTTCGCAAGATTTTTGGAAAGAATATTAGAATTTTTGGAATTTTAGAACCTTAAAATTTTTTAATTTTAGAATTTTAGAATTTTAGAACCTTAAGAAAAGGGGACCAGTTAAAATTTTTAAGGGGTCCAAACCCACCCTTGAATACCACGATAATTACTTAATTATCTTCGCTCCTATAAATCACCAAAAAAAAAACTCCATTCATACTAAAAACGTATTTTCTAAAGATCCTATAAAATAGATTTTCCTTAAATAAAGTGCACGATAAGGAGAGCAAAGGCAACATCGAGCCACCTTGATCTCTATCAAAAAGAGAAGATCTTAGCAATTGGAGAATCTCCAAAGGAAAGATGGCCAACATGTTTCCCTCGCATCCACCCGAATCTTCCTGTTCCATTTCCATCGGGATCTATCCTTTTTCCTCCGTCACTTTCCTCGATGCTCCGGTTTCTCCATGGCTATTCTTCTGGTGGCGAACGGCTCGATCTAGCTTAACGATCCTCCCACGACGCGCCCCTCGTTGATATAAGCCGACAGTCAAAGGGATCCTAAGCACAAAGGGTCGAAAAGTTTGCGTTGAATTTCACGTAGGCAGCCGCCATCCGCAGGCCAACACACAACGAACGATGTTGTAATCCGTTTAAGAGGAAACTTGCGAAGTTGAGGAACGTCTGGCACCCACGACTCGACCCACTTGTTATTTCACCGGGGAAAACAGATTTAATGGGCTGCCATCGTGTCGCTCGCCATCGATCCAAACGATGCTCTATATTATACAACCTTTGCCATTTATTAAAAGTCAAAGATAAAGGGCCCCAAAATGAAGAAGAACTAGAAAAATTTTTATTATAGAGGATGAAATATTTTATTTTATTTGGCAATATTTGCTAACTGCTATAGATTCTATTCTATTTAATTTCATCGAGTCATAGAGCAATCATTCGACTAGCAAAGGCTGTTGATCCACTCGCCATTAAATCCCATTGAATCCCGGCAATCATAAAAGCAGCCATCCCAGGGAGAAATATTACCAATACTCTCGTATTCTACATACGATTCTCTGGAATATGGAAATCGGTAGAACACGAACTCGCCTCCCGGAACATCATCGTCGAACGATGACAAACGAGCTCTGGTAATCGACTTCCGGAAACAACACGTCGATTAACCCATCATTGTAAATTAGCACTTTAATCGTCTCGTGGGTGTAGCACGTTTGTCCGACGGTTTTTCAAGATAAAAGGGATCGCGACCTCTCGGTCAGTCAAACGAATTAATAAATTAACTGATGACCGTATGCTAATTTGTTGACCGGCTCTGAACAGGAAATACCACGACTCGGTTATCACGAAGGCGTTCAGTTCTAATTATCTAATAAAATTCAACGAAATTTTGATAAAATAATTTTCCAGAAATAAAGAGTTAAATTTCTCAGCGTATTTGTTGAAAAAGGAAAGTGAAAAGTACCAACTCGACGTCGAAGAAGAGTTAAAAGATTTCAAGGAAAGTTTTCTATGGACGAAAGGTTTTCAGACAGGGTGCTTTTCGAAGAAAGTAAGGAATCACGAAAGAAACGAAGGCAAACGAAAGAATAGAACGCGTTCGAGTGTGTGGAAATACGGGAAAGAGCAGAGAAAGGTAGGGAGTAAGTGTAGCCGAGTTTACAGTTCTACGAGGCCCACGACTTTACGGGACATACGTTCGTGGAATAAGAATTAGATTCAATTACCGCCGGCATTCAGCAGGCGTCTATTCGCATAAACTTTGCTTCCTAAATGCTCCCTTTGTTCCATATACGCGTTGTTACTTCCAGTTTCTCTGGAATTTGATGCTCGTCGAATCGGTTCCAGAGGTGTCAGTAGTAGAAGTCGCGCTATAGTCAGACAGGGAGTCGTTCGGAACTTTTATATCACTTGAAATCGTGTTTGACTCTCCTTTATTCTTCGAAATATCTCATTTCTTTTTCATGGGAAATTTGTAATAAATTCAAAGTATATTTAAAAAATACGACTTCATTTATGATGTTAAAAATTCGATTAGGATAAGGTTGAAAATTTGAATCATACATCATGCAACACAGATCAGACTGTTGTTTCCCTGAATAAACAAGAGCTAGATTAAGTATTTTCATTTCCCAGTGGAAAATCGAGGAAAAAGCAAGGGAAGCTCTCCACACGGGACAGCTTGTATCTTTCTTTCTATGGCGTTGTTGAGAGGGACAATATTTTTTTCCTCCTACGTACCACGGACCTCGTTTAATCGTTCTTTCTCGTTTCCTCGAAGCGTTTCGCGCGAGGCATCTATTTATCAACGTCCAACGTTCTAGCCACAAGCGGATAAATAATTCCGCACAGTCCTACGAGTGATTATTTTCATTCGTTGCTTTAGTCTCCATCCTCTTCCTTCTATGCACGAACGTCTCTATCGTCTCCCGAAATTGCATCCTATATCGGAGATCCATTAACCAGTAATAATTAACTATCTGGTACTTTGGACGGTAATTGCAGCGGAATAGGCGATGCGGTTGAATTTCCTTGGAAATTCGTTAATAAGTTAATGTCCAGAGGAAAATTAGCAGGGCAGAGTCATGTTTTGTGGTGTCTAAATTAGGAAATATTGTGTTGTTAGGAAAACTTCATTATGCATTTCAAGCCAAACATGTCGATGCACATAAAGAGTATAGGAATATAGGGGTAGTAGTATAAGTACCGTGCGTCGCCGACCTTTCGGACGGATTCTAAATAGTCACCAAAGGGAGCATGGTACGGGAAAGACTCTAGAGTTCTAAGAAAAAGTTTCTAAGTCCTAATTCTATTATTCTAATGGTACTGGGAGCAAAAAAATCTAAGCTTCTCTCGAGACAGAGGGAACAGTCTCAGAGTACCGTGCGTCGCCGATCCTCCGGCACTGTCAAAAATCCCATTCCCCTCGTTTTCTACTCCCTGCACGGTTGTTTAATCCGGTTAGATGTAATTAACTGATGCAACTTCTGCAACGAGTTGCTGGATGCGGGCGCAACTCGGCCGGCCGGTGTAATCTTGCGAAAACATAGAAACAAATTTAATTAGCATCACCGTGGCGCGTCGTTCATTAATTACATCGTTTATCGCACCGATTATTAAAACGGCAGTTTAATCTTCCGTTAACATCGCCAATGAAATACATTGAAATTAATGGAACGACATTCGAAATGATGTACAATTTATACAATTCTCACGTTTCAATGGCGAATAGAATTTTTGTCGTTAATCGAAGCTCGAACTCACCGCGCGGTGCTTAACATGCATCCAGAGGATGCAACAACGTGCAAAGAATACAATTTGTCTAGAAAATTCGTGACGTCGCTAGGTGCATTCAAAGTAGCTGGCTGAGTGCAAGGCGACGCGACGTATGCAGAGTGGAAACTTGGGCGTAAGTTTTCAAGTTTCAAATTCTCAAGGAAGCGAGGTTAAATTTGATCGGTAACTTTACGCTTCCCACGAGGAATCTGCATCCGGACGAGTTTATTTTATTTTACAATGTAAACGCGAGCAGGTACAAAGGAAATCGAGCACGGTAAACAGGAGGAAAAGGAAAGAGAATACCTCTGTTGTTACGTC